CCCCAAAACCCCAAAACCCCAAAACCCCAAAACCCCTAAAACTCTTTAAATAATTGGAAGTTATATAATATTAATTTATCTTTTGGGACAAAAAGTATATGTCACAAATGCAACAGGAGAAAAAATTTGAAATACATGTAAAGAAGAGGGATATCAATAGGAATAATACTACCTCTAATAACCAGAGTATTAGTTCCTTGTGTCTGGGATATTTCCCTCCAAATTTTATAGGGGATTTAAAGAAGACCCAAATGAAGATGGATCCCAAGTCTACCAAGATTTATGCTGCAGAGGAGATCACTAAGAAAAAGAAGACGATTAAATTAGGCAATATCTATGAAGAAAATGTAGGTACTCAAACCCAGCACTTTGAAGGTCAGGAAATAGGTGGGCCTAATAAGAACCAAGTAGTTATGTATTACTCAAATAAACTCTTCTACATAATTCCTCTTGAGAAAAGTTATACTTTCAAAAAGCAGCTGTCTCATGTGGATTCTTCAGTCCAGGAGGAGCTACTGAATTTTAGTAATGATCCGGAGTATGCTCAAACTAAGCTCAAAAGTCGCAAAGAGGTTAATGCAGGTACAAAAGCTGTGGAACAACACAGTGAGAAAGCCAGAGCTGATCTCGGAATCAACTCTGAAGATAACAGAGAAGAAATCCTCAAAGATGCCTTAAGGAAGCGGAATGAGAAAAGAAATGCAAAAAGGAATAAAGAAGATGCTGATTTTGACAATGGTGAGATCTTTCAGGATAATGAAGAGGACGATGTTGCACAGAAGGGGGTAGAATATATTGAGAGTGATGGAGATTCTGAGATTGAGAATTTCGGGAAGAAAAATAAAGATAATACTAATGTTAAAGTAGCTGGAAGGACAGGCGGCTTGAACCAATATGGCAGGGAAATGTTGAGGTAAGCCTAAAAGAATAATATTAAGCTTCAAAAATAAAGAATCACAAAGAGAAGAATTCGACGATGATGATAGCGACGATGGTGATGATATCAGCGATGGCTCTGATGAAGGTGAAGCGTCTGAAGATGACTCAGATGCTGACAAAAGAAAAGATATATCAAACAAGGTAAGAATTTTGGGATTTTATGCATAGGATAACTCAACATCTAAAGCTAGAAAACCTCCAGTTACTGAGGAATTCAAGTATTCAGGCGGATTAGATGATGAACCTGATTTTGAGATTGAAAATGATCATTATGTTCAGCCTCAGATTACAAAGAATCTTTCTAACTCGAGTGATCTTTTTGCTGCAACACCTACTAATCAAGGGAAGCGTCAACGTGAAGAAGATGATGATGTGTTTGGAGATGAGCCAGACTACAAAAGATTTAAAAATGATTAAGGTTTGTAAAAATGTATCAATCTATATTTTAAAAAGGGGTTTTGGGGTTTTGGGGTTTTGGGGTTTTGGGGTTTTGGGG